ATAACCGAAATCGATGACTTTATCTTGCTTATAAACCGTCTATATTTACATGTACGTAAAATGAGAATATCCCAGAATTCTAGTAAGAAAAACCTTATATCATGTTTTCTTGTGGCAAAAAACCTACCCTGGAAGAATAACCCGTTACTGGATTAAAGAAAAACTTTCAGAAGAATAGCCCCAAATTCCCCTGTATATATTCAAAGCCGCATCCGACTTTCAGTCAGACCGCGAGTTATTCCGAGCATAGAATAATATATACCCGCAAGATCAAAGTGATTTACCGTTATAGGTTTATAATATGAGATAATCTCTGGAAACAAAACCGAAAAGGAAGGATAGACAGACGATATTAACTTCAATTTCCCTTCCTTGACCCCTCTCTCTGTCTGTCTCTCTCTCTGTCTCTCTGGTTGAATGGACATAAACAGAGAATATATTTCATCACGTTGATTAACCAGATCTCCCCTCTCCCTCTCTCTCTCTCTCTCTCTCTCTCCTTCTCTCTCTCTCTCTCTCTCATTGAATTGCCAGAAACAGAATATATTTCGTCAAGATGAGAACACTGAAATCTTGATGTCCACCACTAATACAGGACGTGGGGTTTTGTAAACATGCCAGGCCGATTAAAAGTCGCTAAAACAGCTTAAAACAAAATGCTTGAAGGTGTTTTTATATCCGCCTAACGTTTGGACAGTCAGGTGTTTTCTGGTTGTTAAACAAACTTTAATTAAATACACACAACGGCATTACTGTTCACCTGAAACCGTTTAGGAGAGAAGAAAGGCTGATCAGTCTTGACACTAAACTAGTATAAACCTGTAGGCCAGTAGAATTAAACTTTCTACAGGTAGGGTGTCAATATTTTACTTTACATGAAGAAGGACAATAAAAACGTGTTAGCTATGTAAACTTCTAAAACAAGGAAGGAGGGAGAGGGGGCTGCCAGGGGTTCTTTTATGTGCATGCTAATGTGTACAAATGTGGATGGGGGATCACGTGGCTAAGTGGGTAAGACGCTGGCTCGCTAGCCAGGAGGTCGGGTGTTCGATCCCTGCATTGGCCGAGAAAGTTCATCCCGATTTTCCGGCGTGGTTTCCCCTTGTCAGTGATGCAGGACGGAGGGCCTGACAAGAACAGCTGTCTAGTCGTTCGGATGGGACAAAAAACCGAGGTCCCGTGTACACATTGGCGTGCACGTAAAAGATCCCTTGGCAGTTGGAATTCGATACAAGAATAGGCCGTAGCGCCGCTGCCCGGGGAAAATTCCCCTCATAGCACGCTGTATGGCGTATGTCCGACTTCATTAGCCCAGGTTAGGAGCAGAACAGTAGGACGTTAAACCCCATTTCATCCATATTACAAATGTGGATGACTAAGCACTCTCTCCTTGTCATCCCCACAGGCACCATTCTGCACACAGAGATCCATCTAATTCATACTTCGAGTATAGATCTCTGCCCTAAATGGCCGCCATATCCAACAATTGGCATAGGCCTACTGTTTTATAATGCATAGGTACTAGGGTTCACATCTGTTATACACAATAGGACTAAATAAACCATTTCAATTTCATTAAATTATTTCTCAAAATTCTCGAAATATACTTAGTGTTTTCGAATAATATCGTCGATTTTGGACTTAAAATGTCGGTCAACTAGCTTAGTGTCTGTTCTCAAGCGGAGCTACATGTAAACAGGCAGCCTAAGTTTAGTATGCGCAGGCACCACCCCGGACAAGCACGAACCGGGCTTGAAACGTCCCGGTGAATCTTCTCGGTCCACGCGGTCCCACATCAAATTCCTTACATCCTTAGAATTGAACCCAATAACTTTTTCACACAACAACTGCATTCCAGTCTTTTATATATTTTAAAATGTACACGGGTCTAAACGTGTACTGCCCGGCACTTTCTTCGCGGTCGTTACAATACAATCACAAGCTTTTTGTTGCGGGTCTGCGTTACTGACGGAGGATTGTCAATAGTATTTTGTAAATGGTTGGAATTTCACGTTCATGACCATGTTATATTGAATGATATTTACATCTCGTGCAATATGAAACTATCCATATATTTATCAACTAAGCAATGTTCTATAATAGATATCCGAACTCAAAACAACTTTTAAGAGAAAATAAATAGAGAGAGATAGGGTCTAACAGTTATCTATAGATGCAAGATCGTTTAAGAGCCGACTGCGCACTTTTTAATCTAAATTAAGCCATTGATCTATTACATCTTCGTGCAGTTGGGCGAGTTGGTTTTAGGGTGATACAAATTGATACCAAATAATCACGACCCTTTTGTTGGTGGCTTAAACAAGAATGTTTGTTACATGCACTCAAAATATCATCTGAAATGCGTAAAATAATTGTGTTTGAGAGAGATTGAGATATTGAGATGGGTTTAATGTCCACACAAAGAAATAGAATACTAACCGATGGTCCACTCTAGAACAAAACTAGATCATTTCGGGACTAACATTTGTTTATTTCAATTATTCGTTGGTGTCTTGAGCAGTGGAAGGAAACTGGACAACTAGGGGAAACAACTCAAAGTTAGGAAGCTTACTGAGTGGAATCGAACACAAGACACGTGCACGAAGTGGGTGGGGTTTACGCTCCTACTTTTCTGTACCAACCGGGCTGTAATGAAGATGGGTATACGCAATACATTCATCCAGATTTTCCGGTGTGGTTCCCTCCTTTTCAGTGATGCAGGACGGAGGGCCTGACAAGAACAGTTGTCTAGTCGTTCGGATGGGACGAAAAAACAGAGGTCCCGTGTACACATTGGCGTGAACGTAAAAGATCCCTTGACAGTTGGAATTCGATATAAGAGTAGGTGATAGTGCCGCTGCCCGGGCAAAATTACCTCATAGCACACTGTATGGCGTATGCCCGTCTTGATTAGCCCAGTTTGGAACAGAATAGTAGGACGTTAAACCCCATTTCATTTCATTTTAATACGCCCTGACAGCGGGCAGTTGTATTTTCGACTATAAAATTTTTTCTTCGAACACGAAATTTTGACAAGACAGTTGCGTTTCCGTCGCGAAGGGAAGCACTTTCTCTGACAGTGTCGTTTCTGACTTTATCCCTTTGAGCCCCTGGGAATATTTTATGTTGTGACCATGCTATTTTGCCCGGACACTGGCGTTTCCTTCGCGAAGGCAAGCATTTTCTCCGGCAGTGGCGTTTCTGACTTTTCTCCTTAGAGCCCATCGGGATTTTATACATTGCGACCCTGAATATCAAACTCGTAAAAAGCGACTGTCGCTGTTCTACTTCATTTTGTGTGGTTGTCTATAAGAAAGGTATACGGTCGTTTTACTGGGTTTATAAGAAAGATGGCTAATAAGAAAGACGTATGAAAGCCGAAAAAAGCTTTGGTGTACAATTCATTATTCTCTTTAGTCAAATCCCGAAAAACTAGAATTTCAAATAAGTTCACCAATCGTGTTAACCGTATTGCACGTGCTGTGAATCAGGCCAAAAAGTTTGGATGAATTTATAGTAACACACATTTGCGTTCAGTGAGTAGTAACGCCACTGCGCGGACAAAATTCTCCTTTCTCGCATGGCACAAGTTAACGCAGTATATAAAATTAGCAGTATACCTTAGCCTCGAAATGACATACAATGCACAAATGGTTAAACCTGCTACAGCGAGATTCTGTATCAATTTGTATTGGGGTGCAACCAATGTCATCACTAAAGAGCTAATCATCTCTGTATTAAGAAAATCTGTCGCGACTTGACGAATATATCAGTCGCTGTTCACTGTTTGTCTCACTCCGATAGACAAATAAAATAAAGTTTTTATTAGAGTTTTATTGGGCGATCAAATAGTCTCCCTCATAAAACAGCCAGTTGGCGCGTGCTGTTTGTTTTATGTACGTATAAAAAAATGTATGATTAAATTAGAGGGAGAGAGAAAATTGGGGTTTAACGTCCATTCGACACAAACTAGGTCCATTCGGGACTAACATACCGTTCAATTTTATTTCAACAATTCGCTTGCGCGTAGGGGTCTTTAGCTGTGGGAGGAAACCGGTGGACGCGGAGAAAAAACATGAGGTTGGACAGGCGATCCTACTCCTTGCCACGTACAAGTGGGGAATCGAAACCACGCCACTTAAATCAATGACAGACCTTATGATTTCACGCACACGCGTTAAACCATAGACCCCCTCCCCACCCTCCAACGATTAAATTATAAATATTGAAAACATTAAAATCGTAGATCCTGTATTTTTAGAACCAAGTCTAATTTTTTACACTTAATTCATGCTAAAATGTATTCAGATTGGTTATATAAAATTTAATTAAAACAAAAAATAATTCAACGGTAGATAATTTCCAGTTCTGGATTCAATCGGATTAAAAAGTCGCCCATAAATGGATTTTACCCCACACTTATAGGTGGCATTGGCTTGTTTATATCGTCTGTAGAGGATGTAATTAAAAGTTGCACGAATTTCAATTCATCATATCTTTATAAATACTGAATGGAATTGAAACATTTTTCAACTGTTTTTCTGGTCAGAGATTCAACTTACTGTATTGTATATCGTAGTTTATAGGTGGCACTGGCTTGTTTATATTGTCTGTAGAGGATGTTAAATGTTGCTAAATTTTCAATTCATCATATCGTTGTAAATACTCAACAGAATTGGAGTATTTTGGACTGATATTCTTTTAGAGTTGCAACTTTAACAATATTGTAGTTTTCAAGGTATTCAGAATCTCTCAAATGAGACTTCAACCTGGTTTATCGCTTTCTTTATAAACATTCGAAATATCGATGAGAAAAATCCATGTTTTGTGCATGTTCCATCTACTTTTATTTAAAAGATAATTTATTTATAAAGGGTGGCCCGTTGAACAAAAAACTCTTGTCTGCGACATCACTTTGTCAAAGCAGACGTTAAACAACCAAGAAGGCGAACAACAACAAAACATGGCGAAACAAAAAAGTTTGAAATATATCAACTTACCTTTAATACAAGTAGAGAAACGATGAAAATGGTCGACAACATGTTAAATTGTTATAGAATTATAAACTAGAAATTAATTCTTTCCCCGTTTCTCCGTTCTTCCAACAAATTATCAGTAATCCCCACACAGGCTTCCTCGTCTTAAAATCAACTCAAATGTCTCCCAACACCTCGTGACAGGTACGTCGAATAAAACCGAATAATATTCTAAGTCCAAACTATAGATGTCCTTCTATCAGTATAACAGCGATAAAGCTAAGACAAGCTGTAGGATAGAGCGCTAGAGAAGTTTTGTTGAGACGTAGTGGGAACGTTTTGTTTTATACCAGTAAGCGCTACCTAATGTTATCACAAACACTATTCAACCACTCTTTCCTCATTACCGCACGTTACCCATTTTTTGTAGACAGCTTCTATTTTATCCAATCAATGAGATCCATTAACACTTTGGACCAAGGGTTGTTCACATGGTCTTAAATGACCCCGCCCGATTTCGTAATGCGGAGGATAGACCACGTGCGTTTTGACAGTTCCTACCTCTTCCACTAACAATATCCAGAACAATCTGGAACTGTCAACAACATATGATTTAACCAATACCAAACGCCTCTTACAAGACTGGTAAACACCGTTACATTTTTCTTATCAGCTATGAGAAACCCAAGGCTAGTAGTAAATTCATAACACATAATATATGGTTCACCCATTCACGGACAATGGCCATATGAGATAAAACTAATGCAATAAATAAAGGTAGTAACGATTTACAATTACACAATAAATACCAAGTTAAATTACTTCCCCATTTATCCATAAGTAGGGGCAATTGGTACTTTCTTTTTCTAGATTAAAGGAGATGGGGTTTAACGTCCTACCATTTTGATTCGACTGGGCTAATGAAGACGGGCATTCTCCATACAATGTGCTATGGGGGACATTTTGCCTGGACGGCGGCGCTACAACTGCAAATGGTTATTTTACGTGCACGTCAACGTGTACACGGTTTTACATAGTTCGGATCAGAACAGTAGGACGTTAAACCCCATTTCATTTCATTTCATTTCGTTTTTACATACCATCCGAACGACTATACGGTATACCTTGCAAGGCCCTACGTCCTGTACCAGATAACAACAAAAGATCATTTCTAGAACATCTGATACCAACAGGGAGAATCATTTCTAGAACATCTGGTACCAATACAGAATCATTTCTAGAACATCTGATACCAACAGGGAGTCATTTCTAGAACATCTGATACCAACAGGGGGTCAGTTCTATAACATCTGATACCAACAGGGGGTCAGTTCTAGAACATATGATACCAACATAGGTCATTTTTAGAACATCTGATACCAACAAAGGGCCATTTCAAGAAAACATATGCATAGCCCTCTCCCTTACTCAGCTGATACCAACAATCATTTCTAGAACACCTGATAACAACAATCATTTCTAGAACACCTGATAACAACAGTCATTTCTAGAACACCTGACAACAACAGTCATTTCTAGAAAACCTGACAACAACAATCATTTCTAGAACACCTGATAATAACAAAGAACCATTTCTAGAACAGTGCCCTGTTTACCTATAGGATTGGTAGGCTGAAGTCCAGAACCTCAAGATCTAGGGGCCAAGGTGTATCATATTTTTGACGCTGTCATAAACCTTTCATAAACACTCTGTACCCTTAAACACCGTTCATCATCCTCGGTTTTGCTCCATTGTGTTTAAAACACACTTTTGTTTTTCTCTTTTTGTGAGGGGGGGGGGTGAGGGGGGGGGGCAGGCCTCATACGTGAAATAGCATAGGGGCTCTCTTCATATAAATCTGGTACTGATAACAACACGGGGTCAATTCTAGATCATCTGATACCAACACAGGATCATTTCTAGCACATCTGATACCAACAAAAGGTCAGTGTTAGATACCAACAAAGGGTCATTTTTAGATACCAACAAAGGGTCATTTTTAGAACATCTGATAACAACAAACAGTCGTTTCTAGAGAACATATGCATAGCCATAACCCAGCTGATACCAATTTAACAAACAAACATTTGTAGATTATTGATACATACAAAGGATCATTTCTAGAATATCTGATACCAACAACTAACCATTTCTAAAATATTTGATAAAGGGACATTTCAAGAAAATCTGATATCAACAAAAACCCAAGAGACCTTGAAGAAGCACTCGCGCTTTGTAGATCGTCGTCGATTTAGCGTCATCGACGTTAGATCAAATTATGTTGTATGCAAAAATTTGAGACAAATCCACCAATTCACCATTTTAACTTTAAATTTACATGTCGTATACATTTCAGTGATTTTCAAGGAGTTTTTTTTTACTCAAAGTATGTCAGTGGCGGGGTGTTCTATTGTCACGCGAGTCTCAGTCTCATTCGCCACTCCTATCACGATCAAGTTTCCATAATGTATTGTTAAATGATGTGTTTGAAAACTCAGATAATGAGCTGCCATGTTAGATGTGACGGTTCAGATAAGAGAGAGAGAGAGAGTTTAACGTCCATTCGACACAAACTAGGTCATTTCGGGACTAACATATGGTTTAATTTTATTTCAATACTTTTCTAGCGCGTAGGGGTCTTTAGTAGTGGGAGGAAACCGGAGGACCCTGAGAAAACCCACGAGGTTGGGCTGGCGACCCCACTCCTTGTCACGTACAACCGGGGATTCGAAACCATGCCAGCTGACTCAATGACCATACACCCCCCCCCCCCTTCAGATAAAAGACTTAATAGCAAGCTTTGTGGACATGATAACTACGTTAAACATACATTATACAAGAGGTAAATCTGCATTGGCTGTCTTTCTTATTTAGGCCTGAAATTTTATGTAAACTATTAATTAGACATTTATTAACATGAAAAGACCATAAGCAACTCCCGATGCCATCTTATCCGTCCGATTTTCATTGGATTTGAATCCGATTGCTGTTCAACGTCCGTTGGTGATTAAACGCAAAAATGGATAATCGAGACTTTGTTAATTATCGTGACAGCGGTAACAATGACAATCGAGGCATTTTCAGCATATTCCATTTACATCCTCTAGTTTTTAACTATTATAGTGAGAACTACCAGCTCCTTATCTAATCTTCCATAATGTATCTTTAAGCCTCAGGGAGCGAAAAGTGGCACAAATACCAGTAAGGCGGCCGTCGTATCATTTGCGTGCTTATAGTTCCAAAATAATTCAAACATAGCGTTTTCAGATGAGACCCCCTCCCAAATTCTTTCCTAACATTTAGACCATTAATTGGACAATTCACCGTGTCTTCATAAACCACCCCTGTTTGTGCATAACTTTAACAAGTCCGAGACCGTCTAGAACAACCCCGTAGTTTCCAGCTAGCTTCGCCAAGTTGCGTTCACGAACGGCAGTTTCCAGTTACAAATCTACTCTCCACAAGAAGAGAAGAGTGGAGAAGGGGGAGCACTGTGAGATAAAAACGCCTGGAGAAAGTTTGAATCGAGCCCCAGGTCACTAACAGTACACCTAGTGTCAGCTATATATAATATGAGTACAACGATGTCGTTTTGACCTATGCTATGTCAAGTGATTTATTAGTAAAACTGAAAACATACATAGCCCTCGCACGACCCACAACCTTGTCACTTCACACACAAACACTTGTCGCATATCACAGATTGTTCAAACTAATTAAAAGCGTTTGCCCAAAAGATTTATCAATCCATGTTTTTATGTGGAATGGGTGCATAAAATAAACAACACATTTTTAATTTTAATTACAATATGTACACCAAAACCTCATTTGTTTTAGTTCAAAGAACTGAAACATGTCCTTAAACTATGAGTTTGGTTGTACTGATGACTGTATCAAGGCCATTTTGGGATTAACACCTGACTAACAACAGGGATGAAACTTCTGCTACTGTTCCAAGTCACAGGGGATATTCCTTTACGAACACGGATTTACTTTTACGACTTTATTTTACAAACATGGATTTTCTTTTTCGTGATAATAATACAAGTAGCAATTGAATAATGGGAGCCACGGTTGCTAAGTGAGTAAGACGGGAAAGTTCATTGGGATTTTTCGGCATGGTTTCCCCTTGTCAGTGGTGCAGGATGGGACGAAAAACCGAGGTCCCGTGTAAGTTGGAATTCGATATAAGCGTAGGCCGTAGTGCCGCTGTCCTAGCAGAATTCCTTCATATCACACTGCATGGTATATGCCCGTCTTCATTAGCCCAGTTTGGAGCAGAACAGTAGGACGTTTATTCCCATTCAATTTCATTTCATTTAATGCTTCAGTCATTTTCATTTCTATGATTCCGCGTGCGTTGCCCAGACATCAGCATTTCAACCCTTAACTTCTTTTCGGGTCCAACTGCCGTGGTTTCTGTTACGTGCACAATAATGGACGTGGTTTGTTCGTCCCGTCTAAACAATTATGCACACTACCCCGATCTGCCCGGGTGGGGGGGGTAACGCATGCGCGTTGTATCATAAGGTCTGTCGTAAAATTAAAAACGATTCTACACATTGTCTTGTAGGATATGTTTTTCTGTGTTCATTACAAATGGCACCCGAAACCATAGAATACAAGAATCGTCTACTGATTTTAAAATTTTCATTTTTGTCTTTAATATTGGATATTTGGATCTCATATTTTAACGGCTCTACTTAAAATTAAAAACGATTCTACACTTTTTTATTATTATTATTATTGTGTCGTTTGCGAATAGGCCATTGCTAATTACTTCTGCATTGTCTTGTAGGGTATGTGTTTCTGTGTTCATTACAAATGGCATACGAAACCATAGAATACACGACTGATTTTAAAATGGATCCCATATTTTTACGGAAAGATAACAACATCAGTATTGATTGAAATGGACCAACATTGATTTTTTTTTTAATTTGTGTTTTTCATTTCGAATTTATGGAAAATACTAAGTGTTTAGATAGCAGACCTTGGTGTTTTGAACTCTTACTTTACCCAATAACACTTGGTGGATTTTGAAAGGGACGTTTGGGTGGAGAGGGTGCTTGAATAGTTTGAGTACTATCAATCGTGTCGTCTATTTGTGTGGTCTTTTACTATAGTATGTTCACCCCACCCGCCGCCATATTCGTTGTACCTCCAACGAAAGCGGGTTCGACGTACTTTATAATTCCCCCTAGCATGAGTTTATCGGGGCATTTAGCAGTTAAAACGGAAGAGATTACATCGTTGGTTCCAAGTTCAACCCACAACAAGCAATTGACTTTGTTATTTCAATTCATTATAATGCTATTTAAGCCAGGTTTTTCTTTCTTCGCCAACCGTTCTTTCGTGACATGAAACGCCATTTTACGTAATTTGCTCAGGCGCCATACTGTGTTCATTGTTTGGCCAACTGCATAACTGCTGCACGTGAATTTCTTTTTAAAATCTCAGTCTAATAAAACCAAGGTGCATTGGTATATCTACACTTCCGGTTCCCCATATCAAATCAC